ACTATTTTGGGGGTTCCTCATTATAGATATAGTATAATGGGCCCCAAAACCCTATTCTACACATTAAGGCCCCTATGTTACAGAAGCCTCACCTCAGCACAGGCAACAAGCTGGCACTCGCGCAGCTTCTGGTTCTTCAACGACTCCAAGTGCACGGTGCCAACGGCAAGTCCATCAAGCTCCGCCACGAGCAGCTCACGCCCCATGTGTGTCGGCAAGCCGTGGCGGGAAAAACGAACTCGAAGCTCTGGAGGAGCTAGGATCCTTGGTTCAGTTGCTATAAGAGGCGAACCGCATTCTCCCCAAAGTTGTAGGATACATGTGTGCCGTGCGCACACCAATCGCTTCGCAACAGTAGCCGAGCAACATTACGCCATAGCCGCAACCTTGAATTGAGGACCCATCTCCAGGATCCGAAGATGACCAAGTGGGCAGCGCACGTTGGATGTCTATGGCCACCTTGCGGGTCACCTGGAAGCAGCAAATCGCTGGCCCCAGCTGCTGCAACGCGCATAGCAATGCGGCAGTCCGAAGTTCTCGTTGCTTTTCATCAAACCACAGGTTCAAGGTGAGAATTCTGAGCTGTTCTTGTGAGCTGACTGCAGGGTAACGGTGCACGATTGCGTCCAGCCTCCGGCTCAACTTTGGCTTTGCCTCAGAAAGCTGCCTCGCGGTGTTCCGCAAAATCTGCAGCACGAAAGCCCAAGTGGAGCGGAAAGGGAGAATGAGGCTATCAGGATTCCCCAATCTTCCCAGCACGGCATAAACAGTTCCGGCTGAGATGATGTCATGCATACAGAGGCTGCCGAGAAGATGGGCATTGGCCAAGTGCACGCGCATGAACTCCGAGTAGGCAAACACACGACTGCGAACTCCCAGAACCTTGGCCCGGGCTTCCTCCACCAGGCCCCCGATCATGCTCGGACTCCTTTAGCACGGCACACATCTTGATTATGGGGAAGTCACCATTGGGATGCAAAGCGACAGCGTGCAGCGACTCCAGCATGGCTCGGGAGTCAGCTTTCTCAAGGAGCAGAGGAGGAATTTCCATGGTCTCCTCCACAGCCTGCAGGAGACGTGCGAGCTGCTCTCGGTCATGCCGGTAAGGATGTACGAGCGGCTGAGGAACTTGCAAAGTCCTGTCCTGAGAGCATTGAATCTTGCAAGTGGCCAAGGTTGGTGAGAGATTCCAAGGGTTCCCGCGGTAGATCTGGCAGCAAGCATATAAATCTGGCTTCAGGTGCAGGACGACTTTGGTGACCAGGCCGCTTAGAACGGCCTGCAAGCCGCTTCGGACACTCTCTGCCTCCGTAGGATCAAAGCAATTGCCCATGTAAACGCAGCAGAGGTAATCTCCCTCATCACCGGGTCCAACCGTCATAGCCCGCGCATCTCCCAGTGCCCCGCTGTTCAGTGCCCAGACGAGCTCCGGCCATACCCGATCCATGTCCGGCGGCGGCAGGAAAAAAAGCCATTTTCCCCTTTGCATGCTGTGCCGAGCAGAAAGCTGTTTCAGGCCATTCTCGAGATCTGTCCTGGACAGGTCTCGCTGACTTGACAGCTTCTCCCACTCGGATGCAATTCTGAAACCATCTTTGCAATAAATTTTGCCGCGTCATCAGACAACTCCCTGCCGGCATAAAGAAAGCCAAACAGGTTCCAGTCAACAGCTGATGGCCTTATCCTCATGAATATCTTCATCAACCGCCCGATTGCAGCCTCTTCACCTGAGCACTCGAGTTCGAGCCATGGTAGGTGGTTTCGATCAACCGCCTGCTGCGCGATTTGAGTGAATCCATGCTGACGACAGTCTCCGCCATGATCATCAACTCCTTTTCCTCCTCTTCCACGGCCACCAGAACGTCCATTCCTTCCACTTCCCTTGGGAATCCCTGGCTGCTGCTGCTGGCTGCTGTCGGAGGGATGACTATCATTGGTATCCGGGCGGTCAGGACAGAGCCTCGTCCAGTGTTTGCCACCGCAGTTGCGGCAAGTGGCCATGGCTCCGTGGCTCCCCCCTGTGCTCACTTCCTGTCCGCTCTACCCATTAGGAAACCTAACTTGCCAACAGCGGCAGGCACAAGAAGCTCAGGATGCGGATTCATCATGCCAGAAACAGACTCGATGGCACAAACTTCGATTTGCAGTTGCGGGTCAAGAGTGCCCTGGCAACGTCGATTGCGTGAGTGCATACACACGAAGCAGACGCCTTCGCCCCAATTTACTCAAACCTGCGGATGGACCCGGGCAGCGCCAGAAATCCCAAAGTTTCAGAGCTCTGTCCTTCCTGGCGAACACTTCTTTCCGACAGCACCTACTGCCCT